TTGAGTGAGTTGATCAATAGGTTAATTTGAAGCACCTTTCCGTAAATCTGGTAGTAACAAATATGGTATTAGATTTACTCCAAATAACACGTCGATGCGGCCTGGCCTGGTAAATGTGGGATCGGCCAAGTGTAATCCCTGACGATGCTGACAAGTGTCCACGTTGACATTGCTTCTTGGTGAATGAGAGGTTTCGAGTTAAGGACTGGTCGCACCAGATGGTGAAATTGAGGGTCCGTACATGAGCTTATGGAGAACTCTGTACTTAATCTACAGATATTCTTTGAGTTATCACCGATCCCGGTGATCTGTGCTGTGACTCGGTGACGTGGAAGTCCCAGTAACTGAGTGGCACGTTCTGTGATTAACGTGCCCTCAGACCCGTGATCGATCAAGGCTTGAATAACGGCAGTTTGTCCGGTTCTGTTACTATGTAGTTGTACTTGTGGCCAGCCAAATGGATCGAGTTGACTGCGCAGCAGTGGCCATCAGCACTGTAGTGGAATCGGAAGGTTGAGCAGGATCGGAGCGTTCCATTGCTGCGTTCGAAGTAATCGGTGATGTGCTGGTATACGTTATGGGGAAGTGAAGCAGGGTATGGTGATGATTTCCGCATTGTAAACAATTCTTGTTCCTGCCACACTGCGATAAGGGATGATTGATGCTGAAGCAATGTAGACAGGCCTTTGTATGGTCAACAATTCGTTAGCGGGCCAAGCAATCTTAGGACAAAAAATCAGGAGATCGCCGCAAAATGTGTTGCCCCTTAAAGTTTAGTGAGAGATGGGACCGCTGCACTATAGGCCGGATGACCACTTTTTCTGGCCAAAATTAATAACTTCTAAACGAAACAAAATATTTGGGTTCTGTTTTTTGATTTGGGTTCTTAGTAAGCTAAGAAACATATTTGGAGAAAATAGGCGTGGCACCTCCCCTCTGGGCGGAACTAAATTTTATGTCTTCCAAAGTTATATAAAAGTAGATAACAAAAAAAATAACTTAAAAACAAACAATAATATTAAGGTCTGTTTTTTTTATTTTGGTTTTTCATAAGCTTAGGTATTAAAAAAAAGGCGTGTCACCGACACTTTCTGGCAGGAACTATGGACATGTTTTCTACAATTGCTACGCCCGAACCGTTTAAAGTAATTATTATTAAAAAGGCCTGAAAGATAAAATATAATCTAAAGTGTTTGACATGCGCACCTAATCAACATCTTCTTTGGTCTCAAGTTCCATTTCCCTGAACTCAAGTGGATCGTCTTCAATATTTTACTGATACTGATCATCAGCGCTCCTTAAGGGACTGTGGAGCAATTCTAATAGTTCTTTTGGAAGAAGCTATCTGTTTTGTTGTTTGATACGGTTGGCTAGGTTAACCGATGATATTGTAGGGCCTTATATATATAATGATCTGTGGAATACGTCCTTTAAACTTTTGCTTTTTCTCACATGCCTTGTCTCGGCTTCAAATACAGAACCAGCTATAGAAACTTTTTATCTAGCCAATATTGCATTCTCTTTCGCACATTTGGTCGCAGCAAATCTCCAAACATCGAAAAACTCCATGTTGGCAAGCCTGAGGTTGTGACCTTAAAAAGTGAATTACGCAGAAAGTGCGCAAAAGGGCACTTTAATATTACATTCATATGAACAAGAATTGAATTACCTTCAACCCAGTATAAATATTAGGGTCAAACTAGCTCAAAGACCGTTTATATCTCTAGCTAAACATTAGTTTTTGTTATTGAGTAACACACACAAAAGCTCTGTTAAAAATATTTAATTACAGGGACAATCCCAAACAAACCAACATTTGAGACATCCGGCCTATAGCGCGCTGGTTCCAGTCGTGGTGTGAAACGAGCTGCCCTTGTAGAAGCCAGAACCCATGGGTCAGCTTTAATCCCTCGTGATTTATCCCTGACCTTCTCCACCACTTCGATAGCTTGCTCTACGACTCTTCTTAAGCAACTACTTTACTAGGGGAGAGACAAGACACGTAAGGCTTTGCAGAGCTTACAGGGAGAAATCGGGGGGGAATCTAAGCTCGCTGAAGATGGAGCGATAAATCGAAAAGATAAATAACGCCTTTAAAGATTCCTTCTCTATATTACATACAATCACACTAGAGGTCTGCGGGAATACATTCTTATTGTCTCAGCCATAGAATACATCCGAATAGAATAGAATGAATGAGTGCAAAATGAATGAATAGAAATAGAATGAATGAGTTCGTTTTGAAAACGAAAACGAAAAAATTGGTGCTCCCGTTTTCACTTTCACAAAATTTTTCCGAATTCCAAAACGAGAAAATTTGTCTTGCCTAAATGAAAAGTAAATGCCTTTTTCTATATTAAATCGGATCTTATTTGCAAAAGGAAAAAAAGTAGTTGACTTATTGGTTTATTGTGGTTCTTTTAAGACATCTAGAAGATCAATTAGGCTTGTAATTATTTTTAAAACGAGTAATTTCTGACCCCACCTCAAATATGGATATCAAATTTTGCCGTCGGCAAAAACAATTTTCGTTTTGGTGAACGACCGATAAGTCCGACACCATGAGTTATCGTCTAAGCTGCCATACTTTTGATAGAATGAAAAAGCAAGTTAAAAATACTTGTATAATCAAACGGATAGCGATAAATTTGTTGAAATCGGGTAAAATATGTTTTTTAAAAATTAATTAATTTAATTTAATTAGTTATGTGCTAAAAGTGTATAAAAAAAAATTGTTGAAAATTGTTGAAAGATGGCATCCCCTTAGCTTGGCTTTTCTGGCTTTTCCTCTTAATTCTTTTGGCTACGAAAGATGCAATTAAATATCAAAAAGGCATTTTTTCGCGTTGTTTGCTGCTGACCAAACCTCAAATCAGCTGTTTCGGCAGCAAGAAGTTATGAGAAATGAAACGTTTCGTTAGCAAAACGATAACTAAAAACTTGTGAAAACCGGAGCACCTAAAAACGAAAATCTCGGTTTTGATCAATTCATTTTCAAGGTTGTGCATTTGAATGTCGTTTTGGAATCGGAAATGACACAACTTTGGTATTTTTATAAATATATGCTTGTTTATTAAGCAATTGGTTTTAACAGGATTTATGAAGAGTATTCTGCTTAAAAAACAAAACAAAATTATAAAATGTCACTGTTATATAACGCCTAAGATTGCTACATATGTAGATAACTTATATTTCTTTAAATAATGCATCAATTTCATATTTTTAAACATTTTTATAAATATTGGGCCTATTTTTTTAAAAATACTTACTTTTCTAAAGAAATTTAAGCAAAACTTTTCAATAGATGAATTATAATTCAAATGATTTAATTCGGATCGCCACTTTGTGTACTGTGGCATCCACAATAATATGTATAGTCATACTTGTATTAGTAAATCTACCAATTTTATAATCTACCTTTTCATTTTGGCTTTACTTTTGTAAATACCCTTGTACATACATATGTGTATATTCTATTGGTTACTTTGTTATACCCTTGCAGAGGGTATTATAATTTTGTCCAAAAGTGTGCAACGCAGTGAAGGAGACGTCTCCGACCCTATAAACTATATATATTCTTCATCAGGATCACCTCCTGAGTTGATATGAGCATGTCCGTCTGTCTGTCCGTTTCTACGCGAACTAGTCTCTCAGTTTTGAAGCTATCGTCTTGTTTCGTCTTGTTTCAGCTATAGGACATAGTCGGCCGATCCGGGCCGACTTCCCGGGCCAAGTTTTTGCACACACCCTTCTTTCCTTTGCACGCAGTATATAAGTCGGAACGGCCTTGATCGGCCGACTATGTCCTATAGCTGCCATATAACTGATTGATCGGAAATGGTATAACTTCGGTGTTTTTAAAGTTGTTTTTGAAACTTAATACATATTCTATTTTTGGCCAGTTGATCCAACGTACCAAATTTCATTAGGATCGGCCGACTATATCCTATAGCTGCCATATAACTGAACGATCGAAAATGTCCCTCAACTGTTTTCTGACTAAATAATACGGCCGGTTTTTTACCCAACTATTAAACTATTGCCAAACTATTTCTATAGTTAATTTATATCTGATAAGCTTTTCATATTTATATCCAAACATTATCAAAATCGACCGATTTTTAGTGGGTATATACCCACTATATATGTATATATATACCGTTTCCCATAGAAACGGGATAAAATTTTGTACACGTGAATCTCGAAGACTATGTATAAGAGAAAGAACTATCTGACTTGGAACTAAGACTCGTAAAAATTTTTTTTACTCGTAAAATTTTGACTCGTGTCAAAATTTTGCCACGCCCATATCCGCCCCCACAACAGAAATCTTGTTATAGCGCTAGTTATTTAATGTTTTTAGGAAATGTTTTACTACTGCCAAACTTTTCTTTTCTAATTAGCCAAATAGAAGCTATAGGAGCCAATTTTTTGAGGAGTTATAGACATTTTAATCTGCTTCCCTACTGAATCGGTAGTATGGACGTACGGGGTAGTAATTTAATTCGTTGAGACTTTTTTTGATCAATGAATTAAAGATTTAAATTGACTTAAAGCTTTTATCTTCAAAAGCACAATAGTTATAAAATTTCCAATTAATCAGTTATATGGCAGCTACAGGATATAATCGGTTGATCCCGGCCGTTCCGACTTCCGTTCCGAGCGATATCGCTACTAGTAGCGAGCAGTATCGGCACCAGATCGCTAAGCATAAAATACTAAATGGAATTGGACTTTGATTTATCAAACTTGATTTGATTGACTTATCAATCTTATAATACAAAAATATTAAAAATTATATTATTATTACGGCTAAGGATCGATGCAGCTCTTCTAATGTTATATAACGTTTCAATTATTTGTATAAAAACATTTCACGTTTTGAATTTATAACGAATGGCCGACCACAGTGATAATATATCAAGAAAATAAATATTAAAATCTTAATTTCCTCAATTTGAACTTCTTTTTTTAAAAATTCATTTATATGTTACCGTCAGGCAACGTCGACACGGATTGTTGGTGGATGTTGGTTTTTTTTCTGCTTAATAATAATATCGTCCTATACCGCCAATTTGGCTGCCTTTTTAACGGTCGAGAGGATGATATCTCCTATAGAAAGTGCTGCTGACTTAGCGGAACAAACTGATATATCCTATGGAACATTAGAAGGCGGATCTACAATGACTTTTTTTAGGGTAATTTTTTTATTTATTTTTAGCCGTTCGTAAGATTATTTAAGCTTTTTAACTCAAGGACTCCAAAATTGGGATCTATCAGAAAATGTGGCGATACATGGAAAATCGAAAAGCTTCCGTATTTGTTAAAACCTATGAAGACGGAATTAAACGAGTTATGGATGGAAACTATGCGTTTTTAATGGAATCTACTATGCTGGATTATGCCGTTCAACGAGATTGTAATTTAACTCAGATAGGAGGGTTATTGGATTCTAAGGGTTACGGTATTGCAACACCAAAAGGCTCTCTATGGAGGGATAAAATTTCACTCGCCATCTTAGAGCTACAAGAAAAGGGAATAATTCAAATATTGTATGATAAATGGTGGAAAAACACAGGAGATGTTTGCAACAGAGATGATAAGAGTAAGGAATCGAAAGCTAATGCCCTTGGAGTAGAAAATATAGGTAATTTTTTAATTAATATGAAATAAAATATCTATGATTCATCCATAAATTTATTAATTGAACATTTTTCATAATTTTTAGGTGGAGTTTTTGTCGTTTTGCTATGCGGTCTTGCGCTTGCTGTGGTTGTAGCAATATTTGAATTTTGCTGGAACTCAAAAAAGAATGTGAATATAGAAAATCAATCATTATGCTCGGAAATGGCTGAGGAGCTTCGTTTTGCAATGCACTGCCAAGGATCAAAATCAAAGCATAGATCTCGCAATAGAAATTGTATAAAATGTTCCAATGTTTCCACATATGTTCCAACTAATGTCGGGACACCACATGTTGGTGTTAACTATAATTATTTTAGCTGATCTATAACCATATTATGTGAATGTATAACTGTAAGAAAGAAAATAATGTCTACCACATTTGTTGGTTTTCAACAAATATTTATTTAAGAAATGTCCAAAACAAAAACGGCACATCCTCCTCAGTTTTCACAAAAAGCACATATAATAAATTTTACAACCTCCATTTCGTTATTATTTAAAAAAAAATTCTTTAATTTGGTACATTCGAAGATAAAATAAGTCATTCATTAAAATAATAATAAACAATCAAATTAATATATTTTTATCATAATAAAATAGGGATAATAAAAATTATTCTCGATTTTTATTTAAGAATTAAATATGAAATTTAAATATCTCTTAAGAAAGGTTTCTTCCTGGTAAAGTAAAAACAAGAAAGGACGGCTATAGCCAAGTTTCCCGATTATTTGTCCCGATTCAAGTTTGGATTCCCACCAACGACCTACGTCCGGCATACATCCAGATTTAGGACTGAATTTTACAGTAGTAACTTGTAGTCCAGGCACAGTGGCGATCGTGAGTTTATGATCCAGTGGAGGCTGCTGGCTTTCAGTTTAAGGTGCATCTTTTTGCATTCGATGTGCTTACGCGAGGTAAGTCGTCTATCAAGGTGAACGCCAAGGTACGTTACGTCGTTAGCTTGAGGGATCTGCATACCGTATAGTAAAGCATGTTTGTCTATTAAGAGTAATCGTTATATGTTTACACTTTTATTCGTTTATTTTAATGTGCCAGTCGGACAGCCACCTTTCCACTATTGTGAGATGATTAGCCAGTTGGGTTGTTGCCTGCGTTGCTCATCTGGAGCGACTAAGGATAGCGGTATCGTCGGCGAACGTTGACGTTGTTAGTTGTGCGCTCGTAGGAATATCCGCAGTATACAAAACATATAGACACGGGCCGAGTGCGCTTCCTTGTGGAACTCCAGCTTCGATGGTGTAGTCGCCCGAAGTAGCTGCGTTGCATCTCACAGAGAATACCCTATTGTAGAGGTATGATTCCAGTAGCTTGTGGGTGTATGTTCAGCATCTTTGGGGTCAATAGGTCACCACCGGAAGCCTTTTTTGGGTTTAGCTCTCTTATGACTTTTTCGATTTCGTTCGGCCGGAATGAAGGTGCGGCTGGCTGAGGGGAGGACTCTGGCTGAATTTCTGGCAGGAGGAATGAATTTGAGGCTGGGTTTGGCTGGAAAACACTTTGTGACGAATGTTTCAGCTCGGTCTGCTGCGAGCCCAGCATCCCGAAGAGTTTCTTATCGGGGTGGTCGTTTCAATTGGGGCGCTAAGATTTGGGTGGGCCCTCCACAGGGGGTACTTTGTGCTTGTTGGCGAGAGATTCTGGGTGTACCTCAGCTGTGCATTTTCTTCCTGAAGGGCCTGTGTTGCTTCCTTAAGGCGTTGTTTTGAAGCTGGTGATCAGCTATTTTGCCAATCACGACGAGTGCGCCCCTTTTCTCGCACGAGCTGTTCGATTTGCTGATTAGATTTGAGTATTTTAGTATTTGTTTCGGTCTACTTCTTTCCCATGAGGAGTAGAGATTTTAGCTTAGCTTAGATTCTTAGCCGCAACGAGTACTTCTTCAAGGGCGCTTGTAGTGTAGTCGATGTCCGATTCCATGTTAAATTCCGGGGCGAGTTCTATGTGGGCACTCACGTACTTTTCGTTTTTAAGCCAGTTCGTTTTTGGTGTCGTCAGGCTGAAGGGGGGTTCGGTTATTTCTGGGCTTTGAAGAAACGTTAGGAGCACAGGCGAGTGGTCTGATGATAAGTCCGAGACTGCTTTGGCACTTATTAGATTGCAAGGTATGTTTTTTGTCACTGCAAAATCAATAAGGTCTGGGAGCTTTCGTGAGTCTGTTGGCCAGTATGTGGGACAAACTCAGTATGTGTTTGTTGCAAACCTTTTGTGAAAATGGTGTTAAATGCGTTCTCTGATTAGAACTCCAGTTCCACCGTGGGCTTTCCCATCTGGATGAGCTGTGCGGTAGATTGTGTAGCCTCTTATATGAAAGTTGTATTTGCTTGTAAGATGCGTTTCCACCAGTAGCATAACGTCAATATGGTTTTCGGTCAAGAATTGTGACAATTCAAGTTTATGCCGTGAGACACCATTGGCGTTCCACATTGATATTTGTAGCGCCTGCATAGATTATTTAGACTGTTGTGCTACGAGCAGCTGTATCACCATGTTCTGGTTTTGAACAAGCTCCAGATGAATGACATAAGCTCCATCATGCTTTGTGGGAGGGTAAGCATCATCACGGTACTGTCCTTGTTTGTAGTGCAGCAAGCGGACTTGGCGTCCCCGCAGACTACACAGACAGCCCGAAGTGTGCAGTATGACCTTGTGTGTCCATACTCTTGACATTTAGTGCATTGCATTTATGTGGTTCTTTAACAGTGATTTTCCGATGGACTGATTTTCCGGTGGACTTCGTTTTTCTTCAGCGACCTGCTTTCTGGATCGAGCTCGACCTTGAAGAGGGGTTGTGGCTTTTTATCTTTATTTAGAATGTTAATAACATTCTTGGCGGCGAAGCCCTTTTCTTTAAGGGCGGTTTTTATTTCCGCGGCGGTAACATCAGGAGCTTTTTATTCCCTTTACTACCACTTGTAGGCCCTTACTGCTTTTCAGCTGGTACGTGTAATAGTTTTTCTGTACAGTGTCCAGATATTTAGACACGATTCGGAAGTGCTCTTCAGTCTTGGTTTCCACCTTTGCTTCATGGATGTTCCCTTTGATAAGCGGAACAACTTGAAAGTTGTCACCGTTACCGATCAACGATGCAATTTTGTTGACCAGGGCACTCGAGCTATTTTCCCTAATATAGATTGGAGGGGGCTTGGGTTTTTTTGCGGTGTCTTGGGCTGGTTGGTTTTCCTCAACCTCCGCCAGTAGGGCAAATCTGTTAGTAGTGGATCTGTCTGGTTCTTTATCGATGTTCAGGACACGGTTAATTTTTGTTTTATTGCCTGCCGGATTACTCTGCGGGCTAAGCTTGCGCTTAATTTGGATGTAGCGATCCATTCCAGTCTGTGTGGCCGTGGCCGCTTTGGCACTTTCCGAAGTTGTTGCTTATGTACTCGCAGTAGTCGTTGACGTCGCGGTACTTTGAATTGCTGTTGTCGCTGTGATTGCAGAAATTGTAGCACTGCTAGTTGTTGTTGCGAAATTTGTTTCCGATATTGCATGGTGGGTTTTACACTGCAAACTCCATGACGCGGGAGTCGGAGTGAGCAGAGCGGGTGAGCAAGACCGTGCCCTTTGGGTTTCAGCGGTCAGTAAAGCCGGGTGGCTCTTAATCGCCGATTTTTACACTTTGGTATCGCGGGTTGAAAAGTAGGAGTAGAAGCCGTTTCTTTGGTTCACTGAACTTCTACGCTCGTTCTTTTGATCGTTGCTCAATGAGCTCATTGAGTGGCACTTATTTTTTTTTAAACAATGCACTAGTTTTGGTTTAGCACATCACAACTGTTATAAAAAGCTTGTCTATTGCTTTTAATAAATTGTAGTTCAGCGTCTTTTAGCTTATATTGGGTTACCCCAGTTTTTTGATTAGCTGTATTATGGTGCAGTTTTCCCGGAGCTCGGACAAAGCACGTCCGCTCAGTTCGGTAGTTCGATGGGTTATCCATCGAGAGATTCTAGCGCTATGAGATACATTTTGTTAGTTTTAAGTTTTAGCTTGTATTCGAGCTTCACTGAATAAAGAAGTACTCATTCCATACTCCGGCAATGCCGTAACTAACACAAAAAGTTGCGGAATTAAAAAATTCTTAACCAGGGCAAAAGAATCGCTAGCTCAAAATTTAATTTCCAGCCGAAAATATTTCATAAAATTGTGTGCATTTAATCCAGCTTTTATATGTCTTTTTTGTGGTATGTATGGTATTAGCAAGTGCTCCCAACGTTATTGTCTCCCCACTCTATTTTCGGAAACACGACATTTTGGATGTTTTTATTTTTATTTGTTCGTCATAGCGGAGGCACAGTCCCCACGCACCTCTCACCTTGACGCAAGGCAATAGCTTAGTTTGACGAGCTCGCATACATAACTAAAGCGGCGGCTCAACCTTCGCGTCCCTCTCACCAGCCCAATTGCCCCTGCAGTCATGCTACAGCTCCACATGAGCAATCCCTTCTACCAGTATAGGAACACAAATCAATTCTCCAGTGACTCTTAGTCCGAGGCCGAAGGGCCGGCCAGATTTTCCACACAAAAAAGTGCAAACGCTGGCGCACTCACATCCGCGAATATGGCTTTCAGCAAATGACGGCCACTATACAGGCGGCCATTAACCATGCCGTTCATGCCGTTCAAGAAGCCAATATACAGAAGTTGACCATACAGGTTAACGCAGTGCAAATTGCTCCCGCCCAAGCGTAAGCTCCCCAAATCAAAGCCCATCAACCCATAGAAATTAGGGACAACGTCAAATGTCTCAAGCCCCTAGATACCGTCAAGTGCTTGCCCGAATTTACGTGAGCACAGGACGAATACGTCTTCTGGCGGGAAGAAGCAGTAGCCGCATATTATATCTTTAGGAATTGTGTAAAAAGCTTACGCCATTATCAGGCGGTTTCAGCGATGAAATCGCTAATGTTTATATTGATTAATTAATTAATTAATATGAAACATAACATTTAAAACTCGAACAATATCAACCTCGATTGCAATGAGTCTAAACGACGTTAGCACACAACGTCAACGTGAGCAAGACGAGAGACGGCTCTCAGTACAAAGAAACAATGCTTTCTTCACTTTCAAAGCAACCGAAAGTAATGCAAGCTCATCCCAAACACGGTCAATTACCCCAAACTTGGCCGAATTCTTAAACGTAGAGAGCGTGAGAGCGCGTTCTTGCTCCCCCTCGCTACCATCGATGTCTCTGCAGCCAAAGAGCGCAGTAACTAGCACCTGTAACGACACTGTAACGACAGCGCGTTTAACGACGTCATCAGCTAGCAGCGCAAACATTGATACTTCTGCCGCTGTGCTGCCCGAAAAAGAGAACAAAAACAAAGAAAATATTAAGCCGGCTGTGCAGACTTGAGAAAAAAGTTCCAACGTTCTTGTCAACAAAATTATAGAGCTCATTGGCAAGGACAGTTTCCACATAATACCACTCGTAAAGGACAACATCCAGGAAACAAAAGTTCAAACGACGTCTGAAGATAATTACAGAGTATTATCGAAATACCTCACCGACAAAAAAAAGAACTTTTATACGTATCAGCTAAAAAGCAGCA